TTTGCTAAATCCACACTGCGAATTCTCCAAAACAGACTTTACCAGTTAAGGGCAAAATGAAGGTGCAAGTGAAGTATCACCAAGGGGTAAATGCCTTGTCGGTATACCAAATCCCCTTTTTATAGCGTAGGAAGGCTACAACACGTTTTATGGAAAGGCATATGAGCTCTTTCACTGTATTTTCAATTTTACAACACAATCAGTGAATTAGAATAGGACAATACTCTAAATTCATTTTTTGCTTTAATTTTTAATCAACAAAAAAAGTGGACCTCTAGAACCCGTGATGGGGGGTGCCTGCGCACTCGTCCCCCCCGGTTACGGGCCTGCCAAGTGATGAAGTGATGATTGCTTTCGTCAGAACGCATCCTAATCTGGTGTTCCTGTGGCACAAAGGCAGAAATTTTCGATTTTTCGATTTATCGCGATAAGTCGCCTCTACAAATTTTATCAGGGCATCTCGGCCGCAGGAAACGGGGCTCCTTTGGACTCGTTTTCGTTTCTTTTTGTCTCCTTTCCGTGAAGATGTGATGCTAGTGATCACGTTCGGCGGGAAAAAGAAGGAGAGCTTGCAACTACGTCTCTGGAATTTGAATATCTGCATCGAAAAAGTCGAGGCGAAATGCGGATTGGTGGAGATGACATTAGTAATGACGCCATTACCCTTGGCAAGCATGTTTTTCAATGTTTGTTTACATTCGCGCTTGTTTCCGCTTCGCGCTGATTGGCGGAAATCTGACAGCTCAGTCGATGGGGAGCCACAGGGGAATTGGAGGTGGAATTCAACTTCCGGAGACGTACTGGTTTCTAACTCTCCTTCTTTTTCCCGCCCCGCCGCCGGAGCGCCGCGGAGAGCTTGCTTGCAGGCTAGTATTTCGCGGATGTGGAATATGTGCGTGGTAAGTTGAGTATTAATTTCAAGACGTAATGTTAGTCAGGTGTCTTCTAGTTTGTATCAATCGAAGTCTTGGTCTTGGGAAAGTGTGTACGACTCGTGGTTCCAATCTAAGCTTTTCGAAGGCCGTTATTCTTCGCTGATTAGCAATTGTTTTTGTCACGTAACATTCCCTTGATGAACACAGCTGTGAAGAACCGCGAAACTTTTTGTACCACATCCAAACAAATTATATAGCCCTCCGAGTTGTGGTGCTCGGCGATGGCTAATGGAAATAGCTCTTTTGCAATTACACTTACCGAGTTGTGTAGCTCGGCAGCTATTATGTCAGGTGGTCATGATTCAGGGGCATGCAACGACGGCTTCCTCCCAATTTTGTACATTATCCAGAGTACTTTTAGACCTTTACAAATGCATTCTAAGCGGCGCTATAAAATTTGTATTTGTTCGGTCATCCTATGGGAACTTAAGTCTTTTCGAAATTGAAAGGGCTTCACTATTATTTTTCCGAAAATTTTAGATGCAATATAGCGCATTGCGAAAGTTTGTCTGTCACGTACATGTTTGAATCCGAAAATTTTAGGTTTCCTTTTTCCTAAGCAAGAAAAATAGCCTAGCCAACGGTGTGAAATGTGAAAAATTGAACGTCAAAAAATCGTAGGGAATTTATTAGATAAGCTTCAAAAATTGTACATGAATGGAACGTTCTAGAATTTTTTAGCTGTGCTTAAGTAATAGGGAGAACATTCTAGGCAATATTTGCTTCTCCGACAGATGTTTATTTTGATTTGTGATCAGAAGTCAAACTCCTCGGGTTGTGTAGCTGATCGGCGGCTATTATGCCTTGTGGTCATGATTTGTGATCGCAAATCAAACTTACCGCGGTCCGTAGCTCGGTCATCATTACGCTACGTTTTACCGGGGATCAGTTCGACCAAATGGATTTGATGTAAGCAAATATACAAAAACTGATAAACTCAAAGTTATGGATCGTGCACACAATCCTTTTCATGCTTTGATGAATAATGATACCGTGAGAAATGTGATGTGCTTAAAACCAGCTGTAAAAGTGACCTGAGCGCCCTTGTTAAACACTAACGATACGATAACGATTTTCTCTTTGATGAAAAGGAGAACCATGTCCAATAAAAGTTTTAAAATGAAAAGAGACAGAGAGCCATCTCGAATTCCAGTGCAAAGAATTCTTAAATTATTAAGGCCAGAAAAAAATGCACAGAAAAACTGTCAAAAATCAACTGAGACAAAGTGTTCCAAAATCCTCATTCATCAAGGAGATGTGTTGCAATTTCAAGAATTTGAACTCTTAGTATAACCTGACAGTGACCATTTTTATTGCAAATTTGTCTTGTCATGCTTAAACCGAAACAAATATCCAGACACAAGTATTGCATTTGTAAAGAAGGTTGTATTCATACCTGTACTTATATCTTACAAAACCAGGTTACAAGTCCATGAAGCATAGCCCTTTTCATCCAGCTATTTGCATTTCCTCAAATCTAAAAGGAGGTATGGTCTTCTGACAGTGTTTGTTATACATTGTGCTGGGATTGTTTAACTGAGACATTAGAAAATATAGGTTATTGCCTTATGATATTGGTGGCAATTAAAGGAGACTGCTTTTTCAAACCTATTCCACATCAACTCTATGGAACTCCAGAGTTGCTCTATCAAATTTGTATGACCGGTCAATTAGGCATTTAAACTAGAATTTTATGTGGAGAGTGTTTCTATTATTTCCTGGGAGCTTATAATGTTTGGGGGGCTTGTATTTGGAGGGGCGATTTAACGGAGGGTTTTTTGCGTTACCGGTTGGGGGGCTTATATTCGAAGGGACTTATACATGTAGGGGCCTATTTTCGGAATTTTACAGTATTGATGGTCCATGAAGAAACTACGCTTTGTAGCTCAGAGGTGACTAAATCGTTTAAGTATAATTTAGCGGACGTATAAGAACCCATAGTGCTTTTCGTAAGGAGTAGGAGACGTGCTGCTCGAAAGTACAGTGGGTTAAGAGGGTCTCTGAGGGGTGGCCGGGGGGGAGGTAATCTCTATAATGGCCTATACGGGAGGCTCGACCTACCGAAAGAGATGCCTTTTTCAGCCTTATGGTATATGAAAGGGTAGGGAAATCTGTGAAAGGGCCCACCGGGCCGAACAGATGAATTTTATGTCTTTTTAAAGTCGGGAAAACGTTCTATTTTTGTGATTGATTCCTATCTGAATGAAAAGCATCTACAGAAGATAAAAGGGATGCAAAGTTCTAAACGAGGTATGTGAAACGGGTATCATTTGTCAATAGAAGGTATTCGAAAGGGGCACCTTTTTCGTGGAAAATGGTATATGAAAGGGTTGGGGGTTGGACCTCCGGGCGGAGCCTCCCCGTATAAGAAGTTGTTGAGTACCCCATGCCCCTGGTGGGGTGGTAGATTGGACGGTCAATTTTTTCCAATTTTTACGGTTGACGTCTGACGGTTATTAAAGGGCAATTTAGCCCAAGAGTTAAATTAATGTTAGCTGTTGTGTTTTGGAGGTTATCTTGGCCTTTCACTAATAGAAAATTTCGAAACATTTTCAGATAAAAGCAAGTTTTATAAAGGTCTTGCAATGTCTAGAGAGTGTTTTTTTGAGAAGATGGGAACAGATTATTCTAGCCTGGAGGTCCTTCAGGGGCCAGAAGTCCGTAAAGATCAGCTGAAATTGCGAGATTTGAAATACCTTGGAACTTTTTGACGGTTAATATTAATCTGCATTTTTAGCGGTAACAGTTTAAAACTTTCCTTTTTCCACGGTTGACGGCCGGTCATTAAAACTCATTGAGACCCTCAGTTAAGCGACTCTTAACCTCATTATGCGCGACTATATGTGTGTGTAATCTGCAGCAGATCCTCATCTGATTTCAGCTGCCTTATATATAACCAGTTTTTATGTCTCGAACATGATGCATATAATACCTTGCATTTATTACCAAGTGAGTGTGTGAGATTGGTGAGCGAGGGTGCTGGGCTCACAACCCAACCATTCACAACATGCTAGATTTGTTTATGATCGTCCTGGGATCAAATTGCAAATCGTTACAAGCAGCAACTGTACTGAGGGGAGTTTCTGTAAACTACAATGTACACAGTAGCTAGAGCAGCTGTGAGTGCACTTCCACTGTCAGAACCGGCAAAGCATTATTTTACATACAGCAAACTCACCCCAGTTATAGGCCCAAAAATGCATTCAAATATAAGCCCTCCCAGATATATTAGCCCCCATCTAGCTTCTGTTCCAAATGCATTGAATTAATTTCTATTTATTATGAAGCTTTAGATGTCTTATATAGTAACTTATAAAAAAAAAAAAAACAGAAATGCAAAACGTTTTTTGATCGGCACCGGCCGCTAGCTACAATAGAGAGGTTATAAGCCCCCTCGGATATAAGCTCCCTCGGATATTAGCCCCCTCGGATGTAAGCTCCCTCGGATATAAGCCCCCTCGGATATAAGCCCCCTCAGATATCAGCTCCCTCAGATATAAGCTCCCTCGGATATAAGCCCCCTCGGATATAAGCTCCCTCGGATTTAGCCCCTCCGTTCTGAAACCCTTACGAAGACGAGCAAGCTCACTGTTGGCTTGTAAGGAACAGTCTACGGTATGAGTTATTCATGCCCAAAATTCTTTTACCAAAGCTTATTTTACTGAAATAATTTCAAGATCGCTAGCCATTTATCATCCAGCGTTTGTCGGTTTGAAGTTTTGTAACCTTCGCCGCGTCATCTATATTCTCACTAGGGACCTTAAGATACGAGGACGGGGAGCCAGGACGGCGACGGGGGTGGATGAGGAAGGCTAGGTCGAGCCCCGTCGTGCCCGCCAAAAAAAAAATACTTAAGAGCAAACAATTTTCACTTGGGACGGCAACGGCGATATTTCTTTCACAAACAAATTTGTCGACCTTTAAAGACGCTAGGACCTTTCTTCTAAAAAGCTACTTAGACGTTGTGATAGACGACGATGAATTTATTCTACTATGCGATGAGAGCTTCTTGAAGAAGCCAAAATCTCCAGATGATTTTTTTTAAACTTTTACTTGCAATAATGACATCAAAATACAAGAATACAGAAACAACACACTAAACTCCTAGTGCCACTTCAATGCTGCTCATGCCGGTTTCAATTCCACCAGTTTTTTTTTTCTCTTTTTTCAGTTTGCTCCTCAGTTCTTTAGCCACGCGAGAAGGTTGTAGCGATCTCGAACTACCCTTTTGTCAACTGTGAAATAAACTGCTTCAATTTGGTTCAAGTTTTCAGCGACCTCTTCCCTTTTCTCTCTCTCGCTACAGGGCTCTTTTTTGTTCCAGTGAAGAGATCAACAACCATGATTTCCCGGCACATCTCATCGCGAAAAGAACTCCATACCACTGGCTTCCTAAAAATATTAGAATCCAATTCAGGCGTATAAATCTTTAGTTAAAAAATGAAATTGCTTTTCAAATGAGCAAAAGGTAAACACCGCCGGACTGTCAGGAGGTACAAGTCAAAGAAACCTTCACTGAACCTTTTTCTACTCGATTGTTACTCCACTGTAACTGGATCTATTTTAACTTCACTTACACTGATTTACTTTTCTTAACCGGGCACTCAGGAACATTCATGGTCGCGACTGCAAAACAAACAAACAATGATGAACATAAATTATGGCCTTTTTTTCTCATTTCGAAATATTTCCGACAGAAATCGCGAAGAACATGATCTTAAGAAACACCAGGGTCAGAATATCTGAAAAGGGAATCGATATCGCCTTATTGTAGGTGAAAACAAGCCGCGAATACTCACGTTTTCCAGACGACGGCAAAACAGGCTGAATGGCGTCCTCGGCGAGCCCAGGACGGCAAGAACACGAGTTTGGGCTTCGTGTGCGCATGCCTCATTGCGCAAATTTACTTCCGGTAGCCGTCGTAGCTTGTCCCGTCCTCGTATCTTAAGGTCCCTATTATCGAGTAAGGACAGGAGCAAGGACAATGCGCCACACGGGTCACTGATTACAGCTGATCTCAGTGCGGTGTATACACCCTGATTTTTAGACATGATTCGACGGTCATGATTCGACCGTCATGATTCGACCGAGAGGTTACCAAGCAGTATAGTATTTTACCTTGAATATCCTACAGGAATCAAAGCATACAATCTGAAAGTTACTTTGATGATAGCTTGAATATTTCTCTTGTAATTCAGAAAAAGAGGACTGTGATCCATAATTTGTTCTCCTTTTCCGGGATAACAGCTTCTCATACAGTCACGCAATCTAATCGCAATACATGTTATCGGGCGTTTGGACGTCTCGATCAATAAGTTTTTCGGCTCTTTTCTCAACTTGTTTTGGGCTTTTACGTTGATCTTTAAGGAAATATCATATTTTACCCTTTTGCAAAAAAAACAAATTTTGCTTTCTTTTATGTATGGTTTTCTTTATTTGTGCTTCCTAGGGTCATAGGTCGAGGATCGAACATTGTGATATTTTTCAACGGTCGACAAAACAAAACTTTCAAACCCTCCAGCAAATTCTTTCACAACGGCAGACTGATCAATTTAATTATCTGTTGATTTCTTCGGCAAAACATCAAGGTTTCCTGTTATTTTTTAACCATGCAGAAGCTAAGTAAGGACGAAAAAGTACCAACTTGAAGAAATACAAATTTGCCTCCCTGTTAACTAAATTTGCATCACTGTTACATGTAAATTGCGGGTGGTATTCACCAACGGCAAAACACCGAAACCTTGTCATACGGAAGAAGACTAACGATTAACCGTCGGACTATTTCGCTTTTCGCCGTGTTGATAATATTTCGTCCATTATGAAATCGCCTACAGAAATACATTCGGACTCGGCAATCGAACTCCAGGTTTATCACCTGATCAAATGTTATCATAATTTCTGTATCATGTCGCTGCTTTCCAAGCAACAAAGCTTTCCTCTTCAGGTAAAACGCATTTGTCGGGATTCTAGCTTCGTTACACTTATGTCCTTTAGTGCTAAGCTTTCCAGCCAGATTTTTCTCTCACTGTTTCGGATCCCACGGCAGAACTCTCAATTATTTTCGCGACCGTTTACGTACTGCGAAGCGATACGTCACGTGATTAGTGTCGAATCATGACAGGTCGAATCATGACCGTCGAATCATGTCTGACAATCCGGGTGTATACATAGCAATGAAATCAGCTGTAAGTTTTGCATGATTTATAAGAATGGTGTAGTTGCACTACGAAAATCGTTTCTATATAATAGAGCATATGTTGTGCCATCAATATGCTGATGATATAAGTTACGGCAATTTGTTTTCATCTCTTGGTTACGGGCCATGTTCAGGAATATAATGATGATTTTTGTTGCGCTCCGACTTCCGAGGTACCCACTTACTACTTCTAACTTCCAAATCACTCTGACAGTTCCGACTTCCGTTCTTCAACTTCTTCTTCCTCTCTTTTAATCAGGAAAGAATGAGCTCATTCTCTCTAGTTTTAATCAATATTTAAACTGTCTTTTCCCCCTCAATTTGTTTTATTGCTTCCACCAATTTCGTCTGATCACACAGATTGTGTTTTCTAGGGTGGGTGGTGAGGGAACAACTTCACTATCAAAAATTAAGTGAAACATTTGAATCCTTTTTTTTCGCTAGACTGGAGTCATATCACTTGCGCATTTTATGATATTTCCTGCTATTCGTTCAGTCCAGCTTCAGATGGCCCTCACTGGAACGCGATTTTTTCTAAATCCAACAAGTTAACAAGACTTATAAAAATCTTCATAAATGACCAATATCTATTTAAACCAGTAGGTTATTTATAAGGCTTCACATCATGCCTTAAATAATTATGACACAGATGGGTAATTAGATACGTATTTCCCTGAAAGTGAACATAATATCGAATAACATAATATCATTGTCACATACAAAATATAAAATTACAGTGAAGCCAGAGTAATTAATGTCGGTGATCTTTCAGTCCTTTAAGGATTATACCATTAACCACCCAACCCATACATGATTATAAAGAACAACAAGCACGACATCAAGAACTCAGAACGTGATTATTTTTTTTTATAGTATCCGGTGATCAGTGCTTTGGATGTTGAGTAATTCAGTTACCTGGGGGAAGTGTTGGCTACAAGATGATTTCCATTTGAGGTTTGTGGCTTACTTTTGTTTCAAGTAATGTAGAAACGGGTAGAATATGTCAAAACGACTATTACTCAATAGCCATTTCAAACCACAAGTAGTTACAGACAATAAAACGTGGGTGTTAGAACGTATGCGTTTCCTTCATAACAGTTTTTGACCATGCTGGTACTTTATCTTCAACTGCGACATTATAATTTCGGTACATTTTTAACATTGTATTGCATTCTTACGGTGACGGCTGCCGAATAGTCTGCAGTATCGAGGTATACGCACCCCTTAATGTTTAATGTTCTGACCTAAATACGAGATCGTAGGTTGTTTACACCCCACGACGTCGTATGCAAATTGCCACGGTGTAATCCAACGCTCCCCATTCCTTTACCAGTGGTAGGTCGACTGCCATGATACCTCCTGTTTGAACGGTTCTTATCGAAAGAATGCAGGGTACAATGTAAATCAGCCCTGACACAACAATATGATTTTATGAAATTATAAGGAGATAACAAAAATGAAATTAATACACTCAGCGTAGCTAGCGAGAGCGAGTCGCATTATCTTGAGTTAAGAATAGCAATTAACGGACGGGGAATCAGATCAGGTATAGAATAAAATGTTGTTCACTTCAGCATAGTTAATCAGGTATGGTGTTGCTGTGCTTGTTACGATCCTGCGCTGTTCTCAGTATTATAGCGTGATTTTTGCCTTGTTTTAATTTTATTCTCTTAACTAATATTGGCTCGTTCGTTGGCAGAGTTCGTAAGAAAGGAAGAGGTGATGAGTCCAATGAAACAATACAGAACTAAAGCAATATGAAATATTGATGTAGTTAATAAATAAAAGTTGAAAGTTATTTTTAAGACAGATCTATCTTATCTTTTAAGTTTAGTTTTTGTTTCATTGAGTCTTCTTTTTGTCCACGTACCGTTTTCCTGTTTTGATGTTTTGTTTTTACTTGTACTTGAACTTATGCTTAGCCCGCGATTTTACCTGTTGCCATATTAGGAATGTTTTTCGCTTGACATTGTCAGATGTTAGCTTTTTTACAGCTAGTCGTGTTTGTGGTGTTAGTCAGAGCTGACCTTCGTTGTGTGGTACTTATCAGTTGCGGATGTGCGTAGGCTAGTCTATTCCCTAACAAAAGCAAAACCTGTTGCAGTGTTAGCGATAAGATGTACAATAGAAACTCTTCCGGTCAGTTAATCCAAACATGTCCAGGTTTGGCTATTAAAACCGCTACTATGCTTGAACTAGTAAGTAAGGAGAAGTAAGGGAAGAGTAGGAGAAGTAGAGTAAGTAGAAGTTGTAAAAAGATTAAGAAGAATAAAGGCAAGATGTAAATCAGATTCCTGGTACCTCGTCGTGTAGCGAGCTAGTTGCTCGAACACACTGACCCCCACATATTTTGGTGGGGAATCCGTTATTTTGGTGGAGAACTCGTCATTTTGGTGAAGAGTCCGGAGTCTATTTTGGAGGAGAACTTTCTTATTTTGCTGAGCATGGGTTGGTGAGAACAAGTGAAGAGTACAAGTTCAGGCCCTGGAAATCTGTAAGTGCTAGGAACTTTACCATTGCAAGCAACTGAAAACTCTTTTCTAAGTTTAGTCATTTGTAGAATAGAGTCAAATATAAAACAAAATAATAATGCCGGAGCCTCGTTTTTAAGTAATGAATAGGCCTGTTGTTGAGTTTCCACTATTTTATGGCGACGAGAGAGAAGATGTTCGGGAGTTTCTTGGCAATTATAGACGCGCCGGTTTGTTGAATGGCTGGGATAAAGAAAAATTAGCGCTTGGTCTTCCCCTTTTTCTAATAAAACACGCTAGCGTATGGTTTAAAACTTTAACAGGTTCAGAAAATTTGACTTTTGAAGGACTGTCACAAAAATTAATTTCTCATTTTGAATCAAAAGTAACTCTATGGCAGTTGAGACAAAAATTAGAAGAACGTCGTCAGTTGTTAGGGGAGACTGTTGCCGATTACTATTACGATATTCTTTCATTTTGCTCTAGTCTAAATTTACCTAAAAGTGAATGGCTTTGTTGTTTTGTACGTGGTTTGAGGCCTGAAATACGTGAACATGTTATTTTACAACAACCGCCTGATTTAGAGTCTGCATTGAACTTTGCAAAACTAAAAGAGTTAGTAACTCTTAGCCGTAAATCGAATAATGGTCAAAAAGTCGATAATTTTGAAGAATTACGGTCTAACCCTTCAGAAGAGGAAATCAAACAATCTATCGGGAACAAATTTAATGTCTGGAATACAGATTTCCAAAATAATGAAAATCGTCGTATTAACCGCAAATTTCGATCTAGCAAACTTAATCGTCTTCGTTACGGGGGACTAGCTCAAATGGTGCAGAGCATATACTTCCCATCAGGTGATTCAGAAAAAAAAAATTAGCCAATAGATATTACTTTTTTCCGCCCAGATTGACAGCAGACTGATGATGTCTGACATTATCTTCAAGAAAGAAAGGATGAACAGGCCACGCGCCCCGTATGAATTTAATAAGCATTTACGGCATTCAATAGAATTCACAAAAACGAAACGGTGTTCGTGATGAAACCTCGCTTGAGTGAGCTTCTAATAAATTTCCTTAAAAAATATGACAATTCGTCATCGAAGTGCTTTGTTAGACTCATCAATTGAAGAGACCTCTAAGAGCACTCAGAGTAACAGTTTTTGCAATGAATATGGGGACAAACGACGTACAAGGCGGAAAAAACCCTGAATTAGACTCAGTCACTCTTGACAAAGTGTAAAAATCCCATTGCGGTCAAAACAACCTACGCTTGGATGAATTATGACCTTATGGGTGTATTTTTAAGTTTCACAAGTTTAGACGTACCTACTGATACATCAGTGAACAATCAGCAAGAACCACGTTGAGACTTCCTATTAGATGTCCATCCAGTGACAAGAGTAAGTTACTTTTGTAGGTGTCGTTAAAGACCTTTTATCATAATTTAAGTTGGATCGATAGTTATGTGCTGGGCTATTAGCATTCCGTAGATCTGAGCATGAAAACGAAATCGACCCCCTCCCCCACTTAAACGAGAAACTTGGCTTTGAAATTTTCAGGTAATCCTTCGGAACTCCCAGTCTTTCGAATGATTTAGGTACTTTAACGTAAGTTGTGGCAATGATTTTATGGAGCACAAGAGCTTTAAGTTTAAGAAATCGTACCCGAAGTTCTTGGTCACTGCGTTACGAAGGATCACTTGAAGTGTGACTGATAAGCATCCTAAACTCTAAACTATCAACAGACATTTTGTGAGTGAGACTGACTGATATCTTATATTAAAACTCACGCTAGTCCCCGTTTAGCGGTGAAATAAGCGATTCGAAAGTTTTAAGTTTGGGGCAGACTGAGTTTGGGGATACACCATAATCGGCGCCTGTCTCTGGGGTTTAATTACAAACTTTGGTTGGACGAACACAAACGCTCATTTGGATGTAATGTGCGTTTTAATCGTCCAAATCACGTGATCGTTTAATCGCGTTTTTTAGTTATTTCGTCTACTTCCAAAGCCTTGAACTATGCAAGCCAACGACTTTCTGTTGTTGACTGAGATGTTGCAATGTTCTACAACCCGACACCCCCTGACACGCGATAACGCGTTAGCTAGGGCAAATTATGGTAAAATTCGCTTACATTCTGCTTCCCCAAATGGAGTATGAATGTTTTGATACTTCTAAATCATTTCTATGGCTGTAAAAAGCATTCTGAAGACACATAAAATACACACGATTTTAATAAATCTGGGCGCCATCTTGAATTTTTAATTTATGACGTCATTCGCGGAATGACTTCAGCCGCCATCTTTGAGTTTTGACTCGCGTGACAGTACCATGTCAGGACGAGAGGCAAAGTCAGGCCATTATGAATCGCTTTATTCCATTCTTTTTCTGTATAAACATAAACAAATACCAGCGAATCCTTTTCTCAGGCTAAAGTAATCGCATTTGTGCGGTTCGTCTTTGCAATTCATACGGGGACATCATGTTCGATAACAAACGTAACACTAAGAAATGTGACATAAGATTCCAAGCGATCAGCATGTATTAAAAGCTGGCAAGGCTGCAGCGAATTAAAAGGGAAGAGTACTCGACCGTAAACGTGTGTAACCTAGTCTTTTTGTGTGTGGGTTCTAATTCGTACCGCTATATTCATCTCTCAAATATTGCTCTTTTGCTAGGGGCAGAATCGAACAATCGTCCGTTCTTTTCATTTTGGGGATGATGACCACGGAAGCATTGTATTGCATTGTCTTTTAATACTGGTCGGTAGCTTTTGAAAACGTACAGCCTCCCCTCGATCGGTGTTTAAATGCCCTGTACACAAGCCATACCTTATCCCTAAGATCCAAAATAAGATAAAGTTGAACAGGAATCTGATTCAAGGGAAACCAAATATGGTAAACAACACAGGAGTGAGGTGTGTGTTGAGCCAAATGATGCTGAGCGACACAGCTTACACGAATCCGACGCTGAAATTTCTGAACTAGAATCCGAAATTTTAGCACTAAAGGTAGAAGGTAAAAAACTACTAAATATTAAGTGAAATGTAACCAGTCTTTTTTTTTTAAAGAATATTGAAGACAGCACCACTTTAATCCTGCCCGACCCAAATGAGCCTGGAAAAGGTGGACCCTTTTCAGCTCAGGCTTACCATTAACAATGTGACAATAAAACCGTGGATCAGAACATGCCTTCTCAGGTGTCAAGTTTCATAATGTAAAAGGGCATTTGATTTCTAAAAAACCATAACTTGATATTTATTATCTATCGCCCTTCTGTTTGGTAAAGCAGCCAACCATGACATTGTGCTTGATATGACAACACCACACTCTAAGCCCTGAATATGAATGTATGCGCGAGCGTGAATTGATCAAACGTCCTTTTAATTTCTAAGGCTTTAATACTTTCCGGCAAATGAAATGAACTAAATGTAAAAAGTGAAATAGAAATAGCGAAAAATTAAACTTCTAATTAAATCTTGTCTTATGGTTTAGAATAAACTATTCTTGAAACTGAGAATGATTATGTTTTGATAAAAGCTGTGTAAATTGAACCGAAACTGTGCATGGAACCTTGCGTGTATTTCCTGTATTTATCTCCTATTATTCCTATTATATGGAATATGTGTGAACATCTTCATTATGAATCGGTATATTTTAAAGAGCTACACAAGGAGCAAGAATACTATATACAGAGCGGGGGCAGCTGTAGTGTCAACTATTACTAGTTTATATAATAATACGTCAAGGTGTTCCCTTGGGTCTAGCTGTAGAGATGAGCTAATTTCTATTCAAGTCTCGCATAATTAACTGACTAACGGCGCGTGAATTGACAAGACCATAAGCTCATCAAGCGCTGAGACAAAGTGGGATAGATAACAGCATATAATTGTCCCCATTCTTCTGCGTCAGTTCCAGATCCTCTGCAAATTCCAAGAACACCAAGAGTCTGCCCAAATGAACTTTAGAAATACTTAAGAACGGAGTTCTTTCAGCTTGGAACACAGGACGAAATAACGTGTTTCCGTATTTTGGAAACTCGACGGAAACGGGAAGTTGCTTATATCCGTCACGTTTCCGCGCTGCGGAAACATGGTGATCTAGTTTTCCATGGACGGGACGCGTTTCCGCCATGTTTCCGCGTCGGAAACGAACGATCATGTTTCCGCCACATTTCTGTCATCACATTTCCGTCCTTTCTTGTTTCCGTTACGTTTCAGGTGACGAATTTTTTTCTTTTTTTTTTAACCCGTGTCCAAGATCGCATGATCAATGTTTCGTAAACTTTGCCTTGGCGTACAATCAAGGTGAATAAAGGTAAATTTACTCTCGAGATTAAACGGTTCTCATGCATTACTCGCGCGCGTTGCATTGATGCAAAGACTGTGAAGTGTGCGAGGTTGCCATTGCTTTCCATTCTAAGCGATAAAAATCGCAGAGCTTACCAACAGCTTTCAATATTTGCCAGATTGATGTTAATCAGTACTAGTACTGGCGTAAAACTAAAATGCTCTTAGAAGGAGAAAACAACAGGGAAAACAAGAGAGAATGGGGCCTAGAACAGAGCGGAGTGCTGGTCAGCGGACTTTTCCTTTGCTCATGCTCATTACGGTCATTCTTTTTGGCGTCCATTTTGAAAATGATTTCAACGGCTTCAAATTTGCCAGCTTCTATAGGTTCTAGGAGCGTGGAATCGGTATATTTTTGCTTTCTGATGATACACTCTTTTTTTTTTATAAGAATATTGTTTTTCCGGCCCAGGCTGAGTATTCTTATTTTTCTGCCGATTTTAGGCTGAAAATATTCTTGTATTATTCTTAAATTATAGCTTATGACATTTCCGTTTTAGAATTTATTGGGGTGTCAATTATTTGGTATCTAGACCTGTATCGCGTTACATTGTGCACGTGCTCCATCGCTTTTCGTTGCAGTCAGTTTATGTCTTTTGTGCTGAATACTGTACATATGTATTACATGTACCGTTCATCGAACTGTCATTAGCGTTGAACATTGTGCTATAGCTAGTGCAGGTTTTTTCTTTTTGTTGGCTAGTTTCGCCGTTCAGAGAAAGGAATAATTTTATGCGGTTAAGTTAAAAACATAAAATTGTATTGTATTTACAGATGTTTCAACACACAAAATTGTATCCATCCTTTTCAAAATCTCAGCCTCGGCTTTATTCTTAAAATATTCTTAAAATTTCGCAAATTTCAGCCTCGATATTCTTATAAAATATATTCTTATATAAAAAAAAGAGTGTACCACAAGACATCTAAGGGTTGTTATGTATATTTAGCGACCCACCGGCCTTCAGTAATCGATCGCTTCCCTCGTAAAGCGACTCTTTTCTGACACAGTGGAGCAGAATGTGAGACAAAAACCTCGTGATGCGCAAGTATAATTTGAAAGTTGGAGTGTTTTACCGTGCTAAGGCTATCCAAGGCGGAGGATTGTGATGGAATACCGATAGTAAGACGAGGTAAGCTTAACAGTTTTCCATATTTCATTTTTGTGGTCTGTAGCATTTGAGATAATGCTTGGGAGACATATTTGTTGACACAAAGCTGTGATTGATAAGTACAGTAATTTCCCGAGCAGGATACTGCAACATAATGAACCTGAATCCTCTTACTAAACAAGGCGAGGCGCTGCACTGTGAGGTCTGTGAAATGATTGTAGAAAAATGGTTAGAGGGTTCCAGTGATTTTGTTACAAATAGTATATGCATGGTGAGTCCTGGGACTCATTTTGTGAATAGTCAAGAGTTCTGGCCTGTCCACATGCACAACCAGTGAGTCCCAGTTAAAAAACAGGGAGTCCTTAATTCAAAATGCTTGGTATGGGCCTTTTAACCAGACAGTTAATCTGGAGACAGATGCCAAAACTTTTTATGACAGTTTACTAAAATGAAAATATAGTCCTATATATTTAAAGCACAAAAAGACTAAAATAATTATATACATCTTTAAACAACAGCTACAGAAATCGCACAAACAGGATATTCTACCAACAAATCTTCAAATCGATCGATCATCCTTTGCATCCTACGGGATGCATGCCATGAATTATTTTGCGTCTTTGGATAATTTTTTGTGTGAGGGACACAAGATGCAGAGGTAACAAAATCACTGGGGTTTGAAACCATTCCAAATAGTGCACCAGTTTAATTTACTGAGAAGGACGGTAACAAATATTGTTGATCGTTTCATATGTCCAGGAAGCCCCTACACAGAGTTTTTTACACAGCGACGACCAAGTATTTATGCTACGGAAATACAAAAACATTTAATCGAAAATCAGGTTGTTGACCCGCAAAGGTTCGATAAGTCATGTATTGACACGTGATTTCGGTTACTCTTGCAAAGAGTTGACAATAGTTCCAAAAGAGAGCTTAATCTAATAATATAATAATGCTTGACTGAGAACGCTCAAGAAAAAGTTGAAGCATGTATTTTTTTTCAGTAACTGTGATCCCAGGAATAGGTACTTCTTTGACGAGAACTCGGTGATTAAAACAACTGGGAAGTGAAGTTACTGTTGAGCAAACTTGTGAAGCTCAGTCGTAGTTGACAACTATGTCTTGAAGTTCGCAATTTGATTCCCTAACGTGCTAAGTAATTGGCTACTTCATGATGTAGTACCCAATTTTCCAACGAACTTTGCAACATGGTGTGGTAAATAATGTGAAATCGACTGTAACAGAGTGATCCAGACTTTAAGAGCGCTTTCCATTTGTCCGAACTGGCCGGCCGGACCATTGTCCAACCAGTCGGTTTGATATTGAAATACGCTTTTGCCAAGAGTTTTTGCTGAACAACCATTTCCTTGGTGCATACTACTTAGGATTTGACTGATCTAGCTGGAGAGATTTGATTAAAATGGAAATTCTCATTGCATTGGGAATGGTTTGGCCAGTCAGTTCTGACAAATGGAAAGCGCCCTAAGTCTTCATTTCAGTGGACAGCAAAACCAGCAGTGGAGTTAAACTAGTAAAACCACTTTTATTTATCCTGTATTACCCTGCAGTTCTATGCAAACATCATATTGACCAGGGGGAAGGAGGGTACTCCTTAAATATGTTCTCTTGAAATCCAAACAATGTTCCCACAACTTGCAAAGCAACCAGCAGATTTGTTTACTGATCATTCCTTGAATATCCACGCTCATAGCTCAGCGTACATTGTTGTCAGTTAAGATGTTACATGGTTGCGGTGACTGTCACATTTTTTTTAGTTTCCCTTGCATCTTCAATACCAAGAAACAATTACAACATGTGAGAAAAACAAAGAGGCATGATATTTTTGTCAATTATTGACTTATTTTCTCTGTTGGTTCGCCTCTCACTGCTAAAATATTTACTTTAGGAAACACATGTACATGTATATCCAGCATATCACATTGAATGTTTGGCTTTCAAGCTAGATCAAACTCTTTCGAATGAAAGAGTTTGATGCAGCTCAGCCATTCAACAAAACCCACTCACCAAAAAAAATTGAATAGATCATTTGATTTTTGAAGTCAGTCAAACATTGAGTTGGGTTATCAAACAAAGTGGAACTCACATAAGGAACACTCGAATGGAACAAAAACAAGCGTTTCAGTTCCAAGCAATTGATGACAAGTGTGTTAATTATTGATCTAGTGTGAAAGCAGTCAAGGCGATGTGAGATCCTGCTTCTTTTATTATTTCCATTTCAGAGTTAAATTCTAAAATAAACATTTTCTGTGAAAATGTCAATACATTTATTTTGTTTACCAAGGAAAAAGTCTTTAAATCTGCAAGTTGAAATCATCTTGGGAATCATCTCAGTTATTACTCTTCACTCCTTAATTGGCCTCAATAATATTGTAGCATATTCTGAATCCAGCACTTGTCAGATTTCCCTGGCTTGTTGAGTTGACTCAGTTTTCACATTTTATTTTTTTCTAATATAATTTGGTTTGTTTCGATTTTGTTCAGGCATCAAACTCTCCAGAAAGCTGGTTTGATATTGTTTGATGGCCAAACTGTTTTGTTCGGGGGAGTTTGATGGGAACTTTGTTTTGCATAATACATTGTACACCGGAAGTATACATTTACTGCAGTAAATTATCTGCTGCCTACCAGGGTTATCGCTTTACAAGTTGTGAGGACATCATTTCTTGCACCCAGACCTTGTTACTTTCCCCTGCTTCCCCTGGTATTGACCCTGTACGTGTAGATGATAATGTACAACCTGAGGAAGGTTGTGCCCTTGAAAAGTAGGCTTTTTGTTACTGGTACTGGTAATCATAGACAGCCTCTGTTTACATTTACATGTACATGTAACCAACCCCTGGTCCATAGTCTTAACGTTGCAGGTTGCGGGCAACATAATGTACTAGCTACTACTATGAAACACAACTATGCATGTAAAATTATTGTAATGTGATGAATCAGGGTTGTCAGAAAGTTTTGAAGTAGACAGCTGAGTTGTCAAAAATAATAAGGGGCCAGTAAATTATATGTATATTACTCATTCAGTATTTTTTATTCGTATGAGAATATCTACATTAGTAAAGTTGTCTTACTGCTAAAAGGTTTTCCCTCCCTCCCCCCCCCCGCCTGATAGCCTGGGGAATAGCTTCTGTGTTTTACTTATTAGCACTTTGTTTTGTTTTTCATACAACAGGCCAGGCAGATCACCTTGGTATGTGATGTTGGTGCAGAACGTTCTCTCAAAGCAGGCTGGTTCATGGAACTTAATTTCAGTCTCAAGCTACTGTGCTTTATGCTTAGTCAAGTTCTGCAAAAGTTAATCTTGAAATACTACTTCTATGCTAAAGACAAAAAATGTCCAACTGCTACCTCGAGTGGGCAAGGTGAAGCAAACCTTGCCTTCTAATTGGCTACCCAAGGGGGCAAGGTGAGCCCATTTTGCCCACTTGGGATTTCCTGCGTTGGTCCTACAAGTAAAAGTTCTCTTCTTGGCCATGTAATAATTCATTTATTGACCAAGCTTGTTCATTCAAGATGGCTGAATATTGACCTCATTCATTTTTGTATTTTTATTGACGAAGACCAGGCTGTGCTCTGTGGCCCGTTGCGCCTACATCTGTAACTTTTGTTCTCAGGCGACTAGAAAATCTTTGCTTTTTCATAGAAATCATTTGCTGGGCACACTGGATTTCACAAGTTCAGAGTGCTGAGCTGCCTTCAATTTTTCTTAGAGCACAGCCTTGCAAGAGGAAGGCAGGGTCAATAAAGACGCAAATATCCAGCCATCTTAATCTCACACCCGGTCAATAAAGCAGAATTATTTATTACAGCAGACTTGTATTATGTAAAACTGTAGCCATACTTTGTTTGTTGATGTATTTTTTTGCATTTCAATCTTTGCAGTGGTCATAGAAAATTGTCTAGTTTAGACCACCATGTTAGAAGAGTAAGAATATTTCCTGACACCATAATTACAAAATTATCCTGAAGCAGAATGGTCATATGAGTAAGTGGTATATGGTCATACAGGTTAGTATAGCACTTAGTGGGAGTTTTGACAAGAACTGATGTTTTGACAATGCTCATGAAAATGATGATCACCTTGTTGTCTAAACGTTAGTCGCTGTCAACAACAGTCCTGCTCAGGACTACAATGTACATTCACCCGACAAATCATATTCCACTTTGTCGAAATAATTATTATAGACAGCCAAACATATCACTAGCCATAAACTGCACATGAAAGTGTTTATCACTATCTGCTATAAAGGGTATTAATTTGTTAACAGATTTGACATTTTCTTTGCCAAAAAAAACACTACGTAGTCCTACAGAAAATTTCTAGTGGATTTCCTAAAGGAAGCCTCTTACTATTCCTGTTCATTGCTAGTGTGAATAGGCACTCACATTTAAAATGTAATTTAACTTAACCAATGTAATGAATAAATACCATAAGAAGACCTGATTGTCAGTTTAGGAAGCAAGAAGAATAAAGAAAGTACTTGGAAAGATTGCTGTGGTATTATTTTGTGCAATAAAAATGTCGAGAGAATGGGTTTTTGTAACTATAGATGGCGGGAAAACCACCCCAAGATGGTGAAAAGCGCTTTTTTCACGATGGAAATAACTTGAAAACACCAGTTTCCGACTCGTAAACTCGTGTTTCCGCAATAGTTACATCCGATTACGTTGACGGAAACATGAAATTGACTTGTTTCCGGAACGTTTTCGCGTGTTTCCGCAAGGATGCCACGCATTTACTCTTGCGGAAACACGTGTTCGCTTAGACGGAAATTTGACGGAAACGTAGAAAAAAGTGGTACGATTCCGCCGGAACCGCAGCGACGGAAACACGGGTAAACGTAATGTATCCGCTAACGGAAACATGTGATTACCGTCATGTTTCCGCGACGGTTTTACGTGTTTACGTTAAGTTTCCATTTACGGATTCTTGAAATTTCGTCCTGTGGAAATTGTTGACCCTTGGGAGGTCCCAAAATGTTTTCTTGAGAGACATTATTTCTTTTGAGGGGGGAACTATGGCCCTCGCGATCATACGATGATAATTAAGCTTTATGCTTATGAAAGACTGGATAATATCCATTTTCGTTTTGTATGACAACAATAATTAATAATTATAATAACCTTCATTTATATGGTCTTCAAAAGATAAAAATAAATAATGATGTAATAGACTATAGAAAATAGCTGATCATGTCAAAAAACCCGTTCTAATTTAAGCTGATGATGTCATCCCACCAGTTACCATATTAAATGATTATTTTGATGATGATCTCATCGTTTTTTGGTGACGTCAACTCCCTAGATTGTTATACAGAATACCTTTCTATTTTTAGATGATGATCTCATCATTTTAATCTCCTGAGCTATTGTGACGTCACTCCACCACCTTCACCACTGCGTAGAATCCCCCGTCTATAACTACTAAGCACAATTGTGCCAGTCATGTTTTTATTGCTCGCATCCACGGCAGATACTCTAACAGAACTTTTCTTAGTTCATTCCTGTAAACAGGAACGAGAGCGTTCTCGGCTTTCCCGCGGGCCACATTTTCTGAATCTCCGTTCCCCTGCATGTACTCATTGATCAATGCAGTTGAGGTGGGCCTCGTCACATTGTTCTGTCTCGTCAAGAATACGCGACCAAGGATTTAAAAGAGCTCACTCTTCTTGAGAAGAATTCGCTTCTTGATTATTTTTAGAATCACTTCACTTTGTTGCGAGAGGTCGCTTTCTTCGCTGTCTGTATAATTTCCAGTACCTTGTTGCAGGTATAAGTTATAACCCGCGCTCGTCATCTGTGGTTTCTCATACAAACTCATTTGTGTTGCGCGTCGGTAGTCACGCAACAGCTCTCAAAGTTCCATTCATCATCTTTCACAAAGCGTCATAAGGTAACCTTCTTATGCACTAGACCAGTTTTGAGGTCGTGGTACCATCTTGGATAGTGTATATATTAGTTTCACAACCTTTTATGGCGAATGTGTGGTTACACTGGAATATTGAGAGCTGTTGAATGACTACCGACGTGCAACACCCACGCGTGTGTATGAGGAAAAAAAGACACATGACTAAAATAGTCCCGTTTGTCTCCCTTTAGTGTCCTTAAAATTGGCCGTTCGTTCTGTTTTAGGTCCTGATTGTCCCTGAAAGTTACATTATTATAAGGTTAAATGTTTTTGAAAGGGTTTTATTTCTGCCAAGGCCTCGTTGGCATGGTTAAGCGTGTCTGCCGCGATTGCCCAATCTCGAATTGTGGAGCGAAATATCTCGTAAAACTGTCCAATCATCTTACAGCTGTACATCAATTTGATTATTGCCAGGGTGAGGGGAGGGAGTCTAAATTTTCTCTTTATTTTGTCCAAGATTGCAGCTTCATTAGTTAGAGCGCTGCCCAGGTATCCCAGAGGCCAGGGTTCGAATCCCCGCCTGCCTGAATATTTTTTCAGGCTTTCTTTTCGGAATTGCGTAAGCTGCGTCTATAACCCTGTCACTGCCAAATGTGGCCAAAGGCAAATTTCGACCAAAGTTCCAAATTTCATTTTCTAAAATTTTGAGAAACAAACGGCATCATGTGAAAATACAGGCAGAGAGCTTTCGTCTGAATGGTCAAATCATGGGATTTCGTCCATAGACTCAACAGTTAGAGTCACCTTACACAACCCCCTCAAACACTGGCAGTGAAAGCGTTAACAGCGATGACCTTCTTTACATTTATTCCATTAACCCCTTATCAGGAGTTTACCTTGATTTATTTTTCCAGTGGTTATATATTATTTTTCAGACCGTTACAAGATTATTCACTAAAATTAGATTACAAAAATGGGGAATCCATTCAGCGGACTTCGAGAAGGTGAGTGAAAACGAGATTCAACAATCATTTGTCGTGGTGGTAAAACGTTTCTAAACGTAACTAGATCCCGGAGAGGTCTAAAGTTTTAAAATATTACTTGTGTCTAATTGTAATTTTGTAACTTGCCAACCATCATCTTGAATTCGTTGTTATCGTGAATCTGGGAGTGGCTTAAATCCTTCTCTGGTTCGTCGGAAGGGCTTTTCTAGGGCCCGTTTCTCAGAAGTCCCTATAACTTCACAGGCCCGATAAGTCACCCGGTAAGTCCCCTTAAAACTTTTAGGGTGTTTCTCGAAACTTTCTTTATTTTGGATCTCGGTATTTTTTTTCCGGTAACTTGCTCGGTAAGTTACTGGGAGGTCAAGACCTCTCGTAAAGCTGCCAGGAGCTCGCATATTGAGCAAAGCAGCTGCTGAAGGCGAACTTTTCGGTTAAGCAAGAAGACCACGGTATTTTTTTTGCTGACATGCCTGATTGCCAAATCGTAGAGCGAAACATGCTTTCAAGACAAAGACAAAGCTGTCGAATAAAAGAGGGCTTTGTCCGGTTGGCGAGTTTTCCTGGAGGTGAATTTAGGCTCGCAAAATAGCTTTGTAATGCGTGAAAATAGGCACTTTCACGTCGTAGTCTTGCTTGACGGCAAAGAAATGTACAAAAAAAGACTGATGCATGCACCTGCGCGTGCACCTCGTGCGTATATAGTATAGAGAGAAGTATATATATCATTAGTGGTAAAATAAATCGTATGTTCTCTTTGGTTACAAGAAATGAACGAAGGAATTGCCTTTTAAAATTTTCTCGTTTCTTGGTAAAAGGGGTGTAATGAACGGTGAGCAGTGCAGTTACACTGATTACGGTGTATATTAACAATTCATCTTGTTAATTTCTTCGATGACTTCTTGCGTGCTTATTTAATTGTTTTTTGTTATTGCAATTTCTATTCGTTAAATGGCTGCTTAATCATTTCCCCGTTCAAACTAAAAAAAAAAAATTGCTCATTTAAATGAATCGGAAAGTTGCTGAATTTTTTTTTTTCAAAAACCCTGGCGTACGAAACTAATGCGAAAAATCCTTCATGGTTTTAGTGCATAGAGGGATAAGTATTTTTTTCCCCTAAAACACCTTTCTCAACGCAAGGACTACTTCACGTGCAGAGGTAGTACAAAATATTTTGTACTGATGTTAGATCGTTTGTTTTCTGCAGAACTTGATGAAAGACGATGTGTAGGTAATGTAAATTTAATTTATTGTTGATGGGTATATTATGAAGGGTGGCTACTGCTTGGGTGCCCTGTTTTTCAACCTTTCCTGTCGAAGCAATTTTAATCTTCCGTTTTATTGTCTTAAGGTGGATTTCCATTGTCCCGTTATTTTGTACGTGCGTACGCACGTAAATTTTACGCGCGTAAATACAATAGAGACTATGTATGGAAGGTTACGCGTGAACGTAAAAGTTGAACCCACGAGGAGCCGCAAGAGGTGATATTTTTGCACGGCATCTGGCGGCACATCAAAGAATTTGGAATTGAAGGG